CCCCAAAACCCCAAAACCCCAAAACCCCAAAACCCCAAAACCCCAAAACCCCACAGCTAGCTCTGAGCTTGAATAGTAGAGAATAATTTGATTAGACAAATTGATTATCTGTAGGTTCTGGCGGTGTTCTGGGTTCTGTAAGCAGGGTAGCTTGCCTGGGTGCTGGTTTGGGCACCGGACTGAGTACCGACCTGAGTGCTAGTCTGAGCTCTCGCTGGTTGTCTTTGGTACTGTTGGTATTGTTGTTGAGTAGGTGTTTGGTAGGGTTGGTACTGTTGTTGCTGTTGTTGCTGTTGGTACTGTTGGTACTCCTGTTGAGTTGGGGGTCTTTGGACCTGCTGAGTTGCTGGTTGTTGTGTAGTCTGCTGTTGGTTGCTAGTCTGCTGCGGGGTGCTAGTCTGTTGCTGGGTGTTAGTCGACTTTTGAGTGTCCGTTTGTTGTTGGGTGCTAGAGCTTGGAGTGTATGCAGGATATTCTTGTTGAGGAGTGTACTCAGGATAAGGAGATCCTCTTTCTGGGGTTTCTTTTGATGGAGGAACATATTCTGGAACTTCGTCCTTAGGCTGATCAGCAGCTGGTTTTAAGGAAGAATCGGTGTTAGTTTTTTTATCAGCAGTGGTATGAACTCCGAATGGGTTATACTCCTGTTTGATCCTGATAGGGGCAACATAGTCAGGAACAGTTTTTACGTTCCCTCCCAAAGAAACCTTAGAGCCTGAGTTAGGATCCTTCTCGTCGATCTTTGGAATAGGGTTGTTGTTGAAGTTAGTGTCAACGGCAGTGGCGTGGCTGGCGGTTGGAGCCTGGTCCTTCTTCAAGCTTTCGAATCTGAAGTCTTTGAGGTTGACATCGTAAGTTTCAGCCTGTTTTACTCTAACACTCTTGATGTGGTCGAAGTTTACCTTCCTGACGTCGAGGGAGTTGGAGTTGTAGTTGAAAGTATGTCTCTCTGGAAGAGAGAATGGCTTGGAGGTGGTCTGAGGGATCTTAATCTTGAAGTAGTGGTTGAACTGGAGCTTCTTGGTAGTCAGAGATGGGTTCTCTCCCCAGTTGAACTGATGCTTATCAGCTAAGTAGAGAGTCTTTTCAGTCATTTGTGGGATTCTGATGAAGTCAACATTGTTGAATTCAACTTCTCTGGTCTTGAGCATATCGTGTCCAAAGTTGAATTCGTGTCTTTCTGCAAGATTGATCTCTTTGTTGACTGTCTTCTCAATCTTGATCTTTCTGTATTGGTTCAATCTGACATCTTTCTTTGACAAATTCTCAAAGGAGAATGCTTTCTTCATTGGGAGATCGAATTCAGCCCATTGGGTTTGTGGCAACTTAATTGGCTTGTTCCATGCATATTGGACAACTTGGGAGGTTCTTCCTGCATTGATATCAACGCTCTGGCTTCTTACTCCTTCATCCATGTTGTTAATCAAAACAGATGGAGCAGTCTCTGATCTTGGTTCAGTCTCAAGTTTTGGAACTTCAGTTGGTGGATCTGGGAGTACTGGTGGTCTCTCGTGTTCTTGGAGCAAGACCTTATCGTTTTTGTAGAAGTGATTGTTCAAGAAGTTATCACAAGAGTCTCTAAGTCTAACAAATTCAGCTGGATTTTCCTGCCCTTTTCTTACTTTTTCGAGGTTTCCGTAGTAAAGTTTAGAGCAGATGTAATCTCTGAAAGCTGACCATTCGGCTTCTCCGTTAGTATCAGCAGTTCCTTCAAGTCTCAATGGTCTGTCGTTGAGGAGGGTTCTTACATAGTACTTTCCATCCTTCTTGAAGAGTTGGAATCTAAGCTCGTCATTGAAATCTACATGGTAGTCTTCAACCTCATTGAACAAGTGCAAGGCAGCAAGAAGGGTGAGGTGATTTCCCAAATAGACGGTATGCTTCAAATCATGGATTCCATAGTTGTTGTATTTCCCAGTTTGGTCGTCTTCCATCTTCATTTCAAGTTCATGAGCAACACTGGAAAGATATGGATGGGCAAAAGCTCTGGTAAGTGCTTCATCTCTGAAGACTCCATTTCCAAAGTAATGTCCATAGTAGACAGTTAACTGATTCATCAAGTCTCTGTCGAGATTGACAGCAGAAGCTTCTCCGTTAGCCTTAGTAGTCAAAATGTCATCAGCGTATCTGAAGATACTGTAGAAGTCTACGTTATCAACTGGCTTATGAATGGCTCTAGCAAAATCTTCATAGAATCTAGTTCCGTGAGTCTCTTCGTATTCAACCTTGGCATTGAAAAGTTGTTGATCCAATTTCTGAGTGATTCCCGGGTATGTCTTACTAAGCTGGGTCAAGAACAAAGCGTCTGGGTTTCCTGGGTAGAGGCGGGCTTGAGAGGTATCGGAGTTTGGTTTTCCCAATCTAATGTTTCCTCTGACTTGGTTGACATCGAAGTCCTTAACAGGAACATTTTGAACAGCCTCAATGTCAGATTCAAGAGTAATCCCGTTTACAGTATCTGGATAGAGTCCTAACAAGTAAGCGTAGGCACCAATGATTGATTGCTGATCATTGATGGCTCTAACGAAAATTTCCTCTGGAAGGTAGTTGGTATCCAAGAATTGTCCGCTTCCTATGAAGAATAAGTTAGACAGCCAAGTCAACGAGTTTCTTACCGTAATCATTTCTTAACTGTGCACCTCTTGCAGAAAGAGTCTTCTCTCCGGTGACAGTAATTCTTCCTGGTCCTTGGTCATAGTTGTGACCAGTAACCTGGTACTCAGCATTTCCTGTGAAGATTGGAGTTCTTTCTCCTTGGGTAACCAAGGAAGAAATGTAAACGGTATCTCGAGTATCCCTGTACGCATGTACATGACCTATATGGTGTTAGTTATATTTCTATAATCATCCCAAAGTAATCCCGCCATTAGGACCTAAGTCTTACTCGATAGAAGAGCTAGTAGGGCAACTAAGCCAAGAAAGATTCTTGCTCCCATATTTAAAATTATTTATATAAATTTTAATTTTTTCTTACTTAGGAAGTATAAAACCACTCCTATCATTATTCAAATTTCAAACCTAAGCTTCCTACCAGGGGTTTTGGGGTTTTGGGGTTTTGGGGTTTTGGGGTTTTGGGGTTTTGGGG